AATTTTGATTCGTCAAGTGTGAAGTTTCTTTCGTTAACAAGAGTTTCTCAGTGATTAAATTTGATAAAATCACTAATGATAACTTTTAATGGAATTAAAAATTCTATTTATTCGTATCAAAAACATTCTAAAAATCTCATTTCTTCACATTCTAATGAAAACAAGGTATTTTCAGATTTATAAACGATGAGAATTAAGTATTAAAATTTATGTATAAATATAAATGGATATTTAAGGAGGCAAATATGCACATCCTTAAAGTTAATGAGGACGAAAGTATCCCTACTGCAGTGACATCATGAACTGCACGCAGGAGGCCTCGAGTTATGTTCTAGGGGCTGTTGGCAAAAGCCATAACATTCAAAATAAAACTTGCGAATTTGCATTATGGACTCCTTAAACAATTCTGAATATTTTTATAGCTTTATAGATTATATTGGAGTAAATATTGTTACATGACGCTTTCTTTATACATATATATATATATACAGTTATGCACAAAATTGCCTTTACTTACTGCATGAAATCATAGCCTTCTCAGAAACTGTTACCTATAATTTTATGAATTTTTGTGGAATTATACATAACATCATAAGACTTACATACAAAGGAAAACAATATAAGAACTGTATATGATAATACACTGCAAGCATGAAAAATAAAAATCGTAACAAAAAGTTACAAGGAAAGTTCAGAAAAAATATGAAAATTTATGAATTTATTATCAAATATGACCTCCCCTAACTTGTAAACATACATCACAACATGTTTTCAAGCTGGCAATAATACTGTTAACCACAATATGGGGAATTAAATTCTACTCCTCCAGTTATGCAGTCTGCAGGACATTTACATCTCCATGGGAAGGATGCCACCATTCAAGTGCTTTTTCAAGGTAGTCCCATAAGTTCGCTATTGGGTTAAGATCAGGAGATTTTGCTGGGCACAGTATTCACTCAATGTCTTCACTTTCAGGGAATTTGTGAACGAGGTCTGCTTGATGTGGACAAGTATTATCATTTATAAACAAAAAGTTAGATCCACATGCACCTCTGAAAAGTCATACAGAAGGTTCTAAGATCTCAACTCTGGTCTAGTCTCTGCCTAGGCACAGATTTGCTATTGAAAACGTCTAGGGGTGTACATCCATCGATCATTATTCTCTCTTTATCATCAGCTCTGCATTGCCAAAATGGTCATGTTTCTTTAAGTTTGGAAGAAGATTTCACTTTCTGACTCTTTACAGATTTTCCCATGCCCAGAATCAGATGCTGAATTAAACCTCAACTCATCAATACAGAGGGCATGGGATTGTTGGTATTCACTCCAGTTCTGATGTTCTTTGCACCAATTAAAATGGCCTCTCTTTTGCTGTGAAGACAATAAAACACATACTCTCAGCTTTCCTGGAATAATGGCATTTTTCATTAAATCTTTTGTATTCAGTTTTCATTGGTACCTTAGTTTCAGTAGCAGCTGCAGGTTCTGAACTTAAAATGCCCAACAGTAAAATTCCTGTTCCAACATGCAATTATTGCCAAATGCTGATCTTGAGGAGCAGTTGTTTGTTTATAACATTGTCCAAGCCTCCTTTCAACAGTTTGAGTTCTGAAATTGTTTTCATAGCTTAGAGAGTGTCTGTCTGGAAATATCCACAAATAACATTGCTTCCATGATTGTCTGCCCAGCTTCTAAACTTGGCCCCTCACTTTACAGATTCTTCCAAATAATATTTTCGAACCATAACAAACTGTTTTGAGTCTTTACAAACTAAAATCAAAGGCTGTATTGGAGAAATTCAATTAGACATTCATTTTGTGCAAAGCACTTGATTTGCTCTCAAATGATATTGTGACAAAATTGATTGCCATCAAATGTTCAAGAAAGATGTTTAATATTTGCATTCATCAGCAGATCAGTTTAAAATTAATCAAACAGAATCAAAAACCTAACAATAAAAAAATCTACTTATTTAAGAGAAACTTAATTGCTGCTATCCAAATGGGATCTAAAATCAAGGTAACTACAAAATTGAGGTGCAGTGAGGAATCTGGGGAGGTAAAACAGGCACATCACGTTCAACATGGGATCAAAATCATTTCCACAGATATAACATCTTGATTTACATATCAGAAATCATTCGCTCACTTTTGATTGGATGGTACAAATTATACTCGTCTTCCACACATTCTCTGCCTAACTGGATTACACCAATTGAATATTTATTGGAATATCATTGTTTTGGTTTATGCAAAGATTTTTGCATATACCAAATTTTGGCGTAAATGTGTGATGTGTGTAATACAGTCAAAAGTCGTTAATTCGGACACCCATAATCCGGACCTCAAAGCTACAAACTTTCTGCGCATGCGCCATGTTGACGCATGCGCGTAAGACTTTTACGGCTGCGAATATGCGTGTGCAAATGCGCGTAATACGTTTACGCTTGCGAGTTTAATGTATAACGGAGGGTATAAGCTAAGTTAAAATTATCTAATTCAGTTAATGTTGCAGATTGCGTTGTTCCTGAATCTTCGAAATTGATCCGGCTTATTATTTTTTGCAGACTGTTAGAGCAATTATAAAAGTAAGCTTGAACTTTCGATTATGTCAAATAGAATTTCCGATATATATTTACTAATATGTAAAGGATCTACAAAGGGAAAGTATGTTTAGAAGTCCATTAAACAAAAAGTGGAATTGCTGCAAAAAAATGGATAAAGGCATATCCTTCGTTTCTCAAACCATTCCGAAATCTGTTTATCAATCTCACGCTGCTTGGCGGCCCGGGGGGGGGGGACGCCGAAACGCCGCGGCGCGCAATGAATTGGAAGTTAATCTGTCAGCACTATCCTTATCTTCAGGGCAGATGTTTTCATTTTATTTGGCTTATAATTCCTTACTAAATGTAGTGTTTTATCTCGGTGTACTCTGTCTTTGATATAATTTAAATCAAATTCCTCGTCATTATAATTCGCTTCCGATAAAGAAGAAAGTGATACAGAGGTTATTGAAAAGGAAAAACTTTCGATTGATAATTATAGCAATTATATCACTTTAACAGCGGAATTTTGTACATGAAGAAGAAATTATGTCTGTTTATAGAATTAAAGATAAAGTATTATCACATTAAACGAAGCAACTTAAACAGCTTACATTGAAAGAAATGTTTAATAAAGTAAACAAATAAATATTAAGCTTTTTTTTTTTTTTTTTTTTTTAAATTTTGATACCCTTTAGATCATAATTGTTCTTTATTTCATAAATTACGGTTTCATATTTTCAATTTTATAATTTCTGCATGCCATCTTACCAGATTTAAACTGATCTATAATCCGGAATTGCCGAAGTCCCGACGAGTCCGGATTAACGACTTTTGACTGTATATACATAAACACACTCATGCATACATATAATATATATTGTACTTTCTGATGAAGTTACTCCTACGCAAATTACAAACGCATTACTATTTACATAAAATTTGAGTTACTTAATCGTTAAGGGATGTATTACATAACTTTAGAAATTTATTGTACTAGCATAAAGACCACCTAATAGTTCGAATGAAACCTTTTGCTCTGCCAGTAAATGTTACATAAGACAACATACAGAAGGAAACTATCAAGGAAGCAATTAAAATATGCAGAAAAATTATCTGGGAGTATTAGAGATGAATTCCTTATTTTTGGAAAACAAATTAACTTCATTATTTTTAGATTAAATATAATTTTTCACTGTTAAAATTTTTATAAAACTCTGATTCATTTAGTTGGATATATAAATACAAGTTATTAAATTTTTGAGAACTTCTAACTACAGCATATTTAACAAATTCTAATGTTACTTCCTAGAAAATTTACTTTTTTATACATTCATAAGAGTTTTTGTTAATCTCATTTATTAACCCTTTCGCGATGGCGCACCTTTGTTTAAGATGCTCGTGTGGGATGGAAGGGAATCGAAGGCAGTCACCTTACAGGACGGAGGTTTCACATAGCTAAGCCTAATTTTATAAAAAAAAAAGTTTCATTTCTAGCATCGTAATTTTTGGTATCATTTTAGATTATTATTCCAGCTCTTAGATATATGTTAAAATTAGCCCTTAATAACCTTTTTTTCTTTATTTTACACGAAAATATACTTGAAAAATTGCTTGTCTTGTAAAATAATTTTCGGAAGCGCTATTCAAATTATTCCAAAGTTTTAATTGACAAAATCCATCAATAAAGTTTAAAATTAATAAAAGAACACAATAAAGACTATTTACAGTACGAAGTAACATAATTTAAAATGAAGACCGAGTGTGGTAAATTTCAAAGCATGAATAAGTATCACTTTCTAATTCTTTAGAAAATGGATCATCATGCTCATCTGTGTTAGTAAATGGTTCATTAACCATACGAGGATATTCTTCTTCTGATAAATAGCACCTTCCTGCCATAATAGGCTGGAGGTGAGGCTTTCCAAAATAAACAGAGAAGAAACGGAAATATATCTAAAGGCAATGCAAAACATAACAGAATTCCACATAGTAACCCTAAAAGACCACACATAGTAGAGGGAAAAAATAGAATAAAAAAAGGAATTGGATATAAATCAGACACACGAATGTTTATATTAGTCCACGGTGGTTTAAAAGAGCCCACCTCTATTTACACTTCCCCCATCGCAACAGTTGATGAGTAAAATACCAAAGTCGGGCAGAATATATCAAACTCAAGGTCAGGAACCTAAAACTGTGTTCATTTCAAAAGTAATGGACATAGGATGCCACCTAGTGGTCGTTAGAAAAACGTTCCAGCTTAAATGTATATACGCATCACCATCCTCTGAATGCAATCTCTAGTGATGCGTGGATGGGATGCCCAGCTGTAAGAGACGTTCTCAGGGAATGCGTATATGGGTCGCCCGTCCTGAAAGGGTTAAAATTAGTTTATGTTTATAGAAACTATTTTTTTTTCCTATGAACTATGTACACAAAATAAAAATATTGCAAAACAACATAAAAATAAGCTTTATTATAAATTTTAATATCTAATACAATTAACATAAAGTTCCAAATGGAACTTATTTCTTTTACATAAAATTATACTACATTAGGACATGTGAGGTTTAGTACAAAGCTATTATTTTTAATAGTTATTGACAAAAATTACAGATTTTGGCGCAAGAGGCTAGATTAGCTGCATAATACTGTTTTCCTTTACCTCTATATATTAAGAGAGTTTTAGTATGGTCTCCTCCACTTGAAATTTACCTTCAGCAGGTACTTAATATTAACTTGGTTTGCATTATAAACAATATATCTATCACCATTAAGGAAGAATTCAAATTATTTTATTCACTTTCGAATAATAACATTTTGATCCAATTAATCAGCTACCCAGTCACACAAGTAAGATTTTAAAGCTTAAAAAATAATAAACAAATAACAGTGTTGAACATCAATATAACATTTTCAGAAGTAAACTATATAAAAAATCAACTAAAGAGGAGCAAAATGTGTTAAACAATAATAAAATTTCACAGCACTTTGAAGTGTTAATGTTTACATTTTTAGTTACATTTTTACTTTTTAGTCTCAATGATGAGATGTCTAAATGACTGATAGGGGCAGCCATTCCTTTGAACAATTAACCATAAGTATTCCGCTAATGAGGGGAAAAACAAATTTTGACATACTTCTAACATATTTCAAAATTTTTTGGGAAAAAACATAGTTGTTTCTACTCTTCTTCTCTCATAGAGACAACCACACATAATGAAATTTTTCAGTACATTTGAAGACTAAATCTTTGCCAGTGAGTGCAATCTCTCAGATGTCAATAGGTAAATTCAGAGTGTGCATCCAGCTTACTTACCAGATTGAAACCCAGAATATCAGTGTTTAGCATAAACTAAAAATCAAATTAATATAGCTAATAGCATAATAACAAAGAGAAATGTCAGTTGCAGAAAATATTTTCTGCTATTTATTAGTTATGGGGATTACACTGAGTGAATGAGCTTAATAAAAATTGTGCCTCAGTGGGAATATGCAGCTAACTTTGTTCTTCGGAACAAACCGTTTGGGGCAAATTTCTTCATTCAAAACAGAATCAAGCTACCCTATTTTAATGATTATCATTGTTATAACAGCTGCCGCATAAATAATTTGTCCTCAAATTTGTATTTCCACTGAAACATTAACCTGGCATTAGTTGAATGAAGCAAAAAAAGCAATAAATAAAAAATTTAACTTTTTCATGATCACAATTAAAATAATTTTATAAATATGCTTTTTTATGTAAAAGTTTTACATAAGCAATTTTCTTATAAGGAATACTAAAAAAAAAAAATCTTTGTAAAATTATTGGGAAGTAACAACTGTAACCCTTTTTTGTTTTTTTTTGGGGGGGGGCATCCTCACTAGAACATCCTGAGTTTTAAAATAAACTATTATGAAACATGTTTGAAAAATGTAAAAAAGAAATTTCATATTACATTTTTCTATCCCCATTTTCTTTCTATACAAAATTACAATATTGTTTTAAATTTCTGTAAATATTTGGATCAATTTGCAGTTATTCTGCTAGTACAGTACAAAGTCTGTAATCCGGACGTACATTTGAACACTGTTTTCCAAAATTTGTATATGTTAAAACATGGCTGAAGCACAATCATATGAGATATTAAAAACGCATTTAGGATGGACCATTTTAGGAAAATCTAAATACAAATAATTTGACTCTGAGCCAAAAAATTTTATGTTGGTGCATTCTTTGCTTACGAATCTTGAAAACAACATCAGATTTATGGAAACTAGATTCGTCAGGCATAAAAAATCCCAATGAAAGTTAGTTAGAATTCCAAGACCTTGCTTTGAGGTATTTTGAAAATATCATATCTAGAAAAGAAGGCAGATACATCGCCTGCATTTCATGGATTAAAGGCCATGAAAAACTTGGAGACAGTTTTGACTTGGCTGAAAAAAGACTAAAGAATACTGTAAGATCTTTGAAAATTATAGAAAGGCTAAATGATTACAAACAGGTGTTTGAGGAAGAGGAAAATGAGGGCATTATCAAAAAGGTCCTGAAAAGCTTGTTATATATTGGCAGTGCTGTATTGTTTTCTGCATTCTGTGTAGCCCATTTTTATTAGTGGCAGTGTTAAATTACCATCTAAAGCAGGTACCTTACCCTTTGAAAATGGCAGCCCGCCTCCCCCAAAAAATACAACTGAAAGACTATGTATGTAGAGAATTGCTTTACGAGTGTGGACTCAGCTGAAAAACTAATCTTTCGAATGAGATTTCAAAATACCATTAACTATGGGAAAGTTTGAGCTACCGCACAGCAGGCTGGGGGTGTCACAGTGTAGAGCGAAGAAAAAATTTTCAAAGAAAAATCTGCCCATACATAAAAAAGTCGTTCAAATGGATTCGAAAGCAGTCAGAATGGATATTTTCATTGTACCTGGAAGTATGGTACCCGGAATTTTTCGTGATTCCAGTACTTCCTTTACTTTGTACAAAGAAGTAATAAATATATTACCCAGACAAATCCTTTCTATCAATGTATTTTTAATACATGTGGGATGAATTATTTATTTATATAAATTTACTTCTATAAAATCATATGTTAAAGATATCTACGATGATAATACAAATCTGATTCAACTCTTATAACACAATATTATGGTCACTAGCCATATGTGGCTACCGAATGTTTGAAAATGGGCTATTGGAATAGAGAATACTTTTCTTTTGTTTTAATTTGTAATTAGTTAAAATTTACCAAAAAAGGGAGGGAAAGAACTATTTCTAATTTTCTAGCTTTTTTAAAAATGTATGTCTTTAAAAATATTTAAAATTTGAAAATTATATCCCTAACCCTGGCAGCCTAAGATGGTAAAATGGTAGAGATGAACCATATGTATCATTGTGCTCAAGTTTAAATCCTAAACAAAAAATAGACATTTGTGTGTACAGTGCCTTTGTAGAAGGGGAGCATTGTAATCTCCAAATCTTCTCAACAGATTGGTGACTGTGAAAGCTCTACCAGAATTAAATATGCTAACAAAGGCACATAAATATCTAATTTGATATATACTTTTTTTTTTTTTTTTGATGTGTGTGTGTGTTAGTTAGTTTAAAAATATTTATACTTCAACATCTTTACAAATCTCTACATATATTAATAGAAACATCATTTATGAACTTAACAAAAGAAACACTAAAAAAAAAAAAAAAAAAAAAAAAAAGGGGGGGGAACGGGGGGGGGGAACTTAAGTTTAAAATTTTTCTTAAAGGATACTCATTATAAAGAAGAGCACTATTTGGGATATTACTCTTCACAGGCTTACCAAATGGTACTTCAACATCTCCAATAAAAGCCTTCTCTTTAGGATCTGGAATGGTCATACCTAAGCCTGAAATATAAATTAAAATAGTTTAACAACAATAACAATAAAGCAATAGGAAAACAAAGTTTAACTACTTATCTTTTGCTCCTTCCAATGCCTTCAGCAGGGGTGTTTGTGGGACCCCAAAAAATCCCCCGAAACTTTTATGGACTTACTACCGACATTTTGGAGTTTCGAGAAGGGGGGAGAGAAATGAAAAATTACAATTATGAAGTATTGAATGACCTAATTATAAAAGTTCAATGAATTACTTTTTTTGCAAAATTAATAACCATAAATTTTCAAACATATAAACTACTACATTTATGTAAATATTTTAAATTACCTGAATTAATTCTTTTAAAAAAAATTATCTAATTTCTGCTGCTTTTTTTTTATTTTCTGATGTTTGTGGGCTTGTCTTTCTTTTTGGTGAACTTCATAATTGCAGGAAGGTTGACTTTTATTTTCCTCATTTACAGTTGAAGAAATTTCCTCGAGAACTGCACATGCAGAGGTAGAAAGCAGTTTGCTTTTCTGCTAATGTAGAAGGTTTTTCAGAGACTTTTATAGGTGACTCATCTGAAATACATGTTTTTAAGTCCTCTTGATATGTTTTCCAACTTCTGTTCATATTCAGTAAGAGATCTTTGTGAATTGGATCAGTCATTGGATTTCTTGAGCCATATTTTTCACATGAGGTTACTTTAGAAACCATTAAATCATATTTAATAGTCTGCACTGCATCTAGGGAATCAATTTTAAGAGAGTGTATCCATTAAGTTGAATGCACTTTCCACTAATGGGCCACGGAAGCAGCTAAGGCAGGCTTTGACCAATTTAGCCAATGTAGGATACTTATAATCATTTGTGAAATCATCTTTTAAATTAAAAACTTTAGACCAATATTTATCAATTGTACACTTGACTTGATTTCCACTTTCATCAGATGTGTAGAGCATTTCTTTGGTGATATCAATATCACTCTGGTATAACCTTATTTCAGCTTCTACTTTTGACTTTTCATTATCACTACAAATATGGGACATAAAAGATGATAACTTTTCAAAAGCTAATATTGTACTGGTTTTACCTCTTAGCTCTGGATCTAATGCTGTAAAACTAATTAGATATGAATTTTTAAGGGGTAATTTCTGTTTCATATGCTGTGATGTATTAGTATAAGCTTTCATCAGAGAAATTTAGAATTCTTTTGCTATTGTATGATTTTTTGATAATTTCTTCAGGAGAGTGGAAGCTTCCTCACCAGTAAATATTACTTTGCTAGGTAGATGGAATTCTGGATTTGTGACATCAACCTTTAATAAATCATTATAAGATGTGCACTCTATATTTTCTGCTTCATAAAAAAAGAGAAAAATTTTGCCATCAATTTATAAATACTGGAATGTATTAAATGAAGCATTGGTTTTTTTGTTTCAAATAATTTAATATATGTGTTGAACTCTGGTAATACTGCTGAATATAATGCCATATGCAATAAAGTTTTGTTTTGCATAACAAATAACCCATTTAGTATTCTTTTTTTCCGAGCTAAAGCATCTTTTGTGAGTTGTTGGGAATGCAAGCAAGAATAAACCCCTTCAACAAATTTTTTCTGAGCTGCAGAATTATTTCTTTTATTGTATACAGTTTCAACATAAAAAAAATAATCCCCTTTATCAGTTTTATCCAAGTAGTGAAAATAAAATGCAATAAGAGCATCCCACAGATCTTTGATTCTTTCTAAAACACATAAAATGCACACCCACCTATGGTCTGGTCTCTTCAAGGGCTTAAGCTTTTTAATGGCAAGGGATTCACAGATTTTGAAAAAAATTTCTCTTTTACTGCAGCTTTTCATATCAAAATAGATGTCATCAAACAAATCTTCTAAGTATCTATCAAAACATGAAGCAAATTTTTTTACACAGTTATTAGCTGTGTGACATGTGTCACCATCAATATCTAATAAGTGGGGTGCTTTGTTTGATCGTAGTCTGGTTTCAAAACCCTTTTTTTTTTTTTCCACGCATGGTGTTACATGAGTCCATTAATACACTAATTAAGTTTGCCCATGGAATATTATTACCTTCAATAGTATTAACAACTGCTTTAAAACAGCTTCTGAATTGCAAGATTCCATCTTTAGAGATGCAAAATGAAGAACTACAACTTCATTTTGATTTGTTGTCATAAAACTGCACCAATATTGCCAGTATACTTTCTTGAGCATTGCTAGTACTTTCATCCAAATTTAGAGGAAATGGAGTCTCCTTTAAAGTTTTAATGATATTTTCCTTAATAGTTTTTGCGAGCCCATATTTCATCTTATAACATGCAGTAGTCCTGGATATTTCCAACGAGTTTAGTGCTGTCTGATCGCGGCTCAACTGTTTGCAGAGTTCAATTAAATTGGGAGCTACATTGAAAGAAAGAGAATTCTCGGCGATAAACGAAATTATTAATACCTCTTGGCGTGCTTTTCTTGTCACTATATCCAATGGCCGAGCATCAGTCTCCAGTAAGTCATCAGTATTTTTTGAATTAGCATAATTACTTAAAAGTCATTGAATGTCTAATGCACTTTGTATATTTTATGTGCGTCACAGTTTTAGAATGATTTGTGAAAGCCTTGAATCCTTCCCCACCATACTTCAGCAGTGAGTTACAAAAAACACAATATGCTTGTCCAGCAACATTTATTTTCTTGCACCATGTGCCGATGGTATCCCCATTACCATCTCTCCGTTCAATCCAATTCCACCTAAATGCATTCCGGACACCTTCATCTAATTGTATAATATCACTATTTATATCGAGAAATTTCATAGTGAAATTCTCTTGCATACATAAATAAAAAAATATTTCAATAAACAAAACGAAATTTTACACGTGCATCAATAAATGAAACGAAAATTTTACACAGCGGAGAAAAAAAAGTTGAGAAGCGATCAATGACAAATAGCTAATACGGCAAAAAATCCCCCTTCTCTACTTATTGGCGCCACGCCAGTAGAGATAAGACCTTTGAACACAGAGTCACGTGATCGCACATCTGGTCGAACGAAGTCTCTCCTTTTTTTTCTGCCACGCCTACTTGCCGAAAAGAATCCAGAAGAGAATGTCCGAGAACCGGGTAATGAGTCATAACTCGCAATAAGGAAAGAACAAAAAAGAAGTTTTTCCCCCTCTTCACGCATTATCATTGCCTTTGGAGAAAGAAAGGAAAAGTTTTCCCCACACACACTGACCTTGCGTTTTTTGCTTTCAAAGCAAACAAAATTACCCAGATCAAAATAAATAATTCATTATTATTCCTACTTCCTTTTGAACGACGATCCCCGGAATTTCCACGTATCGAAGTTCAAAATCCCCGGAATTCCGGGGTATCCCCGGAGCACAAACACCCCTGCTTCAGTATCAAATAGAAAATAAAATTTTAAATTACCAACAAACATGATAGGAAAGACATTATCTCGTTAGCTAAGTGGAATTAAAAGAATACAAGCAGCTTTTGCTGTATTACTGCTGCAATATAAGTCACTATTATCTATGTAAACAATGACTCACTTAACAGCAGAACATAACAGTTTAACTACACCTAAATTTGAAAGTTTAAAGGAAAATTTAATGAAAAAGCATGTCCGCAGTTAATGAATAAATAGTAAATACACTGATCAATTTACCTTTTGTACTATGCTTATCCACTGGCAATTTTTCAACAAACTCTGCATGTGTTTTCTCATACCTTATTGTAAAGAATAAATAAATGAACTAAACTTGCATAAACTGGCAATATTCAATTAAAAATAAAATCAATCAAAATGAATTACTTACATATTTCCAAGTGCCACTTCACAAAGTAATAGAAGTCCAGTTGGATTTTTCTTAGTTGTATAGCAATAGTTAGCACTCTTAGAAACCATATCAGCAAAGTATATACCTTTTCCGAACATATAACCCGTCTGAAAACAAAAGTTATCTATATTTTTCACCTACAGCAAATTACAAAAGACTATGCTTACATTTTAAATGTTTTAGGAGATTAAAAATGTAACCAATCTTTACGCAACTAATTTATTACACGAAGGCCTTCAACAAAATAAGGCATTAACGGTTAATCAGGCATTAAGAGTTAACATAAATAACTGTAAATATCTAACAAAAATAAGTACTGAAAAATTATATAAGGATTTCGTTTTTGAAAATCCATTTTAGGTAAAAAAAGTGACATGACATTATATTGTACGAGTTCTCGTACAAAGTAAAAAGTGAAAAAAATCAATGGTTTTTTGCAACAGAATGTTATCCAGGAAAGATAATGTTCTTACACAGTTGCCCTATTCATATAAAAATAATTATTGCCATTTAGTTAAAAGTAAATAATTGAAGGAAAAAGAGGATTTTTTGGCAAAAGGTAGGGCAAAGAAATCAAGATGCTACCAAAGAAGCACTGAAGATGAAGCTATTTTACCATAAAGAAAATACCCTTATTTCCATAATGACATTCAGATATTCAACTTAGGCAGACATTCGGCTTTTGTTGACAGAAAAAAATATTCCTTGAAAAGCTGATATGTTGAAAGCAGAATTTTCATCCCTCATTCCCAAAATTAAAAAACAATCTGAATTGCATTGCATCAGTACTGTAGCTGCTGAAGATGGACATACTGTGTTTTGTTTACCACTAAATCATTGAGAACTGAACCTGAGTTCACATGGAGTAGTGTGAAAGGATATGTACTATAAAAAAACAGAACTTTTTAAAAAGGATGAAGTCTGTAAATTGATTGAGAAAGGGATTGATTGGGTGATAGTGGGCTAAATACATGAGACCTAATATAAGACAAAAAAACAAAAAAAAAAAAAAAAAAAAAAGTGAGAATTAGACTGCCTGCTGGAAAATACCATCGAGTGGGTGAACTGATGAGTAAGAGAGTTCAGATTTTTCAGACATTCTTAGCAGGATTGAATACCTCAGTTAAAAAAAAGTCTTTCCAGGCCCCTAAATTAAAAATACACAGGGCCTTTTCAAGACCAAGACAAGACTATAAACAGTTATAAATAACATTATAAATACAAATTAACATCTTAATGGTTAAGACTGCCAAATACTGGTAGTTTGAATTCAAGCGAATGGGCTGGCTTTTGTGGTTTTCTCCATGTGTAACATTGTTATGAGCTAGTTTGATTTAAAAAGTACTCCACAAACGCATCTCACCCTTAGTCAGATAGCCCTTGAGATAGCTCTGACTCATTTAACCCCCCTAAACCCAACCAATGTGGAAGTATTGATCAATTAAATGAACTATGGCAGAAAGAACAAGGGATTCTGTCCAAAGGAAAAGATGTCTTTGTAGGGAACTTTAGAAAGGTAAAGGACTCTTTTTATATAACACAGTGGGAGACCCCCATGCAGTTTAGAGCCTTCAGTCATTACAAATGAACTCACTGCATATTACCAGCATTTCACAGCTTAAGTGAATGGTCACTACTATGCTCAATATGCGATGATTCTAGCTAAGCAAAGGAACAACCAGACTTTCCATATAATATTCTTGTTAGTTTTATACTCTGAAGCAAGTGTACTGTTTTTACTTAACATATACAGTCCTAACCCCACAAAATACAATTTGTGGATTTTGAGATAGCTGAATTAACCTGCTTTTTATAAATTGAGATGCAAAAGCAATGCATTTCCCCTGCACGAAGCAAAAAAATGTATCTTTCAAATGCTATAGCATATACCATTTCATTTGACAAAGCATACGAATTTTAATTTATTTTTTAAATACAAGCAACCAGTCATTAATTTACATAGTGAATGATTTAAATGCAATAAACACACTTCTTAACAATTTTGAACCTTTTTAGCTCTTACGAAGATTTACATTCTGTTGTAATTAACAAAAGGCACTTCCAATGCTATATTTTTAATTGATTAGTATGCGTTTAATTAAATGATATAGGATAATTTGTTTCATAATTTTTATTTTTGTTTTACAGTTTTCAAATTTTTAATATCTTTCAAATACTCTGACATTTCTAATGGTAAACTCTTTAGTCATGAGAATGCAATCTGAAAATCTGTTTCTGATATTTTTATTTATTTAATTTTTTATTTTAAACAGAAATAAACAAGAGAAGAAATACTGTGGGAGGCTGATTGACTGGGCATGACTAAAAGAGTATGCATCTTAGGAGACAATTAATACAGGATTTCTTTTTTATAATGTTTGCTATAAAACATAGTTTTTTAAATTATTCAAAATTAAAATTTAATTAACACCTTTAGAAAATAAAAATTGAAATTTTTTCTCTAGTTTACTGTTTTGGAACCAACAAACTATGTAAACTCTTACAAATTATGAGAAAATAACTTACTACCAAATTTAATAAATTTACATATTTTACTTTTAACTAAGAGAACAGTCTGGGGATAACAAATAATAACCCAAACTGCAAGGAATGCATTGTTAGTCATCCGTTTCAAGTTTTAAGTAACGATTCGGTTTTTAAAGTCATCAAATTCGTATATTTCACATTCAGATAATAGTGAAAAATTAAAATTTCACATAAATTAAGAAAATAAAAACTATAGGCATATTAGTGATGATGAAGAAAATGTTATATAATACTACTGGGAGTAGAAATAAGTCTCCGCCATTTGACCAAAAATGGCATAACCAGTAAGTTAAGGTTAAAACTGTCTGATGTAAAACATCATATCGCAGAGTTGGACATCTGCTAACAATATAACCTTGAAATATTAGCAATTCTGTTATCATCACCATCTATTTTTTTCCATGCAAAAATGTTGAGTTTTGAGCCGAATGAGCGTCATATGCAGGAACTTTACTTCTTTAACCCTTTGATGGTTATGAACGAGTTCAGCTCGCAATCGAATTGTGCTTCATAATGCGCGCAAACGAGTTCCGCTCGGGAGCAAGATTTTGACTGAAATGGTTAGTAACGAGCACTACTCACGTAGTGAAATTTTTCCCCAATGCATGCTGACGAGCTGACTTCGTTCGCCATTATTATTCTGCACTGATTGTGTTTCAAACGAATGCTACTCGTGAAATTTAGTTAGTTTTACTGTCTACAGATGGCAGTACGAGTTCCATGAATTCTTTGCATAATGAAGGTGGATTTTTTTTTTTTTTTTTTTTTTTGACCTTGTTCATTTTATACGTATTTTGGCGTGGTTTTTAGGGTGTTTGTACAGTAAAATGGCTCAAAAGCGAAAGTTAGATAGGTATGATGATGATTATGATTGTGATACAGAAAGCTTATCAAGTTTTGAATCTGATGAAGACTTTGTTCACAGTATTTCAAGCTCAGAAGACGATTCAAGCGATGAGGAAGATTTTTCGAGTGTTCGACAGTGGTGTATAATTGATTCAAGTTCTCACGCTCCTAGCCGATTTAGTTTTACTGGTGATGTAGGCATGAAAGCTTGCGTGACAAATATTTCTGAAATTCTCTATTAGAAAGAACCTACTAGACGATGTGTGGTATGTTGCAGCAAAAATGATGCTAATGGAAAAAGAATTCGCGGTGAAACACATACGTATTGCAAAGACTGTAATGCCCCATTATGTGCAATTCCATGTTTTAAAGTATATCACACACAAAAAGATTTTTAGGTAATTACTGTATTTATACTGTGCTTCATAAAGTTTTACATTAGTTGTATTTATTTAGTCCTTTCAATTTAATATTTGTCTTATATTTATAATTAACTATTATTATTTATATAATTGGTTATAATCATTTATAATTTACTGTTTAATAATTATTTTAAAGTACGTAAAAACTGTTATTTATGTACTACAAATACTTTAAGAAATTTTTAAAACGCACGAGGCGAGCTATCTACGACATCGCCAGAGAAAGGTGACATTTTCGGAAGAATGGCGGGGGGAAACAGCTGCCACTTTCGACTACTGTTTACTCCTAATGCTGCGTGAATTAAGTAAACGGAAACTGCTCATTTCCATAACCATCAAAGGGTTAAGTTGCAGAAATCTGCAGCTGAGGGGCATCTATTGTTCATAAAAGCATATAGTGAGGCTGCCTTAAGTGAGAGAAGTTGTCATGAGTGGTTTCAAAAGTTCAAGAACAGTGAATTTGACACTGAAGGCAAAGAACATACCAGAAAGATAAAAGTGAGTGAAGAGCAGAACTAGAAGCATTATTGGATGAAGATTTATGACAAATGGAAGCAGAACTTGCACTTACGTTAGAAGTGACTCAAATGCAAGGAAATTGGGTTCCACATGAGAGGAAGCCGAGAAGCATTGAATGTCAATTTTTTAAACATGAAACACATCTTGCCAGGCATAAAGGAAAGGGTTTTTCACATCGTAATATCACTGGTGATGAAAAATGGATCCACTACTATAACTCAAAGAAGAAATCATGGGGACCACATGGCCGTGCTTCAACATCAACAGCATAGATGAATATTCATTGAAAAGAAATCATGTTGTGTACATGGTGGAATCAACTTCATATCATGTATTTTGAGTTGCTCAAACCAAATGGAACCTTTACTGAGGCTCCCTACTGAATATAACTGATAAGACTGAGCCAAACACTCAAAGAAAAATGCACCCACTCCTATTCCAGACATGACAAAATTATTCTCCTGCATAACACTCATCCACATGTTGTAGCGAAAGTCAACACCTACTCGGAAACACTCAAATGAGCAGTTTTCCCACTCTCATTGTATTCACCAGACACTGTTCTTTCTGTTTATTACTTGTTTCAATTGATGACACAGGGCTATCCGAGTAGCAGTTATCATATGAAGATGGCAAAAATTGGTTCGATTTGTGGAAATCCTCAGAAGATGAAGCAGTCTTCTGGTGCGGTATTGGTATGCTGGACAAAAGATGGGAAAATGTAGTGGCAATATTTTGAATAAAACATAACATGCCATTCTTTCACAATAAATGCCCGATTTTTTATTTTAAAAAAATGGAGACTTATTTGTACTCCTGATAATATAATATCTGATACTTTTGATCAATTACTACTGTAACAAACATATTTTACTTAGTTGCAATTTTTTTTCAGAACTTAATTATGTTATTTGTACTAGTTTTTTGGTTAATATAATAAAAATTTTAACATATGGTTTTTTAAAACTTAACGATTGTATTATAAAATGATATTTATATTACTAGCTAACTTCTTTTACCATGCACTCATTCAATAATCATTCCTTTTGCATGTCTTTTCTAATCACAATATTTATATGCAGTACAGTACAAAGTCCGTAATCCGGACTCGTCGGGACTTCGGTGATTACGGATTAGGGGTTTTTCCAGATTATAGATCATCAATTTAAATCTGGTAAGATAACATGCAGAAATTATAAAATTAAAAATATGAAACCGTAATTTATGAAATAAAGAGCAATTATGATCTAAAGGATATCAAAATTTACAAAAAAAAAAAAAGCTTACTGTTTATTTGTTTACTTTATTAAACATTTCTTTCAATGTAAGTTGTTTAAGTTGCTTCGTTTTTTGTGCTAATACTTTCTCTTTAATTCTATAAACAGACATAATTTCTTGTTCAGTTACAAAGTTCCACTGTTAAGTCCTGTAATTGCTGTGTCGATAATACCGACTAACTTGTCAATCGAAATTTTTTCGTTTTCAGTAACCTCTTTGTCACTTTCTTCACTATCGAAAACAATATTTTCTGGATCTATAACCATACTACAGATTTCGCTGTCCGTTAATTGATTGATGATTGGGGCATTGTCATCGCAATGAAAAACTTCTGTTATATCATCTTCATTTATTACCGCTTCTCCACATTCCTTTACAAAATCCAATAACTGGAAAATTTCACCTTTAGTTTGCAATGTCCAAAAACTTTCAAACTCGTGGCTATCATCTTCATAGTCCTCACCATGAAATATGGTAGCTGGTCATAAATTATGCCAAGCACTTTTAAGGTATCTGGAGACACATCTTCCCACGATCTTGTGATGCTCCACACAGCAGATTTTATGCTAAAAATTTTCAAAAAGTCTTGACATTGTTCAAGAAATTTAACATAGATTTAAAAAATGCTACTTTATATTTGCATTTCAGCACGCGCACTATTCCCATATCCATAGGATGAATGATAGACATACAATTTGGAGGGAAGAATAATACGGCTACATTATCTTTCAATAAAACTTCAAATGAAGTATGCGCCGAACAGTTGCCAACAATCAGGACTATTTCTGAGTCATCAGGTAAACCAACCGAATTCAAATGTTGCTGAGCCTTGGGTATAAAATGATTTTCAAACCAATCATTCATCAACACTTCTGTCATCCATGCTCTTTTATTTGCGCAATGTATAACTGGAAAAATCATTACTCCTTTAAATGCTAGAGGTCGTGCATGATTTCCGATTACGAAAAGTTTGTACTTGTGTGTTCTTGCAGCATTTGCACACGCTAAAATTGTTAGTCTCGCTTTGGAATCTTTGACACCACTTGGAGCCTTTTCTGTAGAGGTTGCCAAGGTATTTCGTGGTACATATTGCCAGAAAAAACCAGTTTCATCAGTGTTGTAAATTTGTTCTGGAGATAATTGTTCACTAGTAATGAGTTCAATGAATTTATCTGCAAATTGTTCAGCAGCTTCAGCATCAACTGAAGCTTTTTCACCTTAAATTTTTAATTGTCTTATACCATGGCGATTTTTTAATTTGGTTAACCAACCCGTCAAATATGTATACTCAGTGTTTAAGTTCATTTCTTCATGAAATATTTTGGCTTGAACCATTAGCGTTAATCGCATGCCCTCGCTGCGACGATGTCTGACCCATTCAATCATCACTTTGTCATGATCGCATGACAAACCCTTTTTCTGTTATTCATTGTAAGTGGGGTGTCGGAATCCACAAAAAATTCAAAAAGTTCCTTTTTCTTTTTGCCTATGTCATATACAGTTGACTTTCCAATGTCAAACTCCTTGCATAATTTTGAGACGGATATGGCTTTATCAATTTTTGCAGCAATTCCACTTTTTATTTGATGGACATTGAAACATGCTTTCGCTTTCTAGATCCTTTGGCAGCTCCAGAATAGGAAACTCGTTTTGACATGAAAGTTCAAGCTTAATTTTTATAAAATTGCTCTAACAGCTGCAAAAAATTATAAGCTGGATCCAATTAGAAGGTTAAGGAACAGCACAATCTGCAACATTAACCGAAATGCCTTAGAATCAGTAAAGATAATTTAAGCCCAGCTTATACTGTCTGTTATAAATTAAACATGTATGCGTAAAGCATACAAAAAAAAAAGTTTGTGGCTTTGAGGTCCGAGTTATAGATCATTCCAGATAATGGACGTCTGGATTACGGACTTGTATTTATTATTGTATTGTATTTATATTTCTACATGCAGTAATGAAATACACCTAAAATCACTTATTTTTATTCACATTTATTTACTTTTTAAGTTATCATCAAAACCTTCTTTGACAATTTTATTATTTGCTACTACTGGATGAAATAAACATTTTATAAAATAAAAATATTGCCTTGTGGTACTTCTGAAGGCTGCTATTACATATTAACCTGAATTCTCTCTCTCCCACAACCCTCTGTCTATAATGTTCCTAAGCTTAAATTCTTGTCATAAAATATAAAGTACTTCTATAAATGCACATTATTAAATGAAGTTTTTCCTATGCAATTAAAATTCAGAATTAAAGCAATTTTTTTTTTTTTACATATTAACCGAAGTGAATCAAAAATGTTCTTTATGAAAGAAAGAGAATTATTTATATAAAATTTCTAGATGCAGAGTGACTGTACTGTAAGAAGGTGTTCTAAACATCCCTAAACCCTTTAAAATAACATCGATTCTTTTAATTCTAATCACCTAGAAGTAAATATTTCATAATGTTTTCATAACATATATTAGACAAAAAAAAAAAATAATTTCATCTTACCACTGGAGCTTCAGGAGGAGCTATTCGAAGACCCTGAGACAAGATGCCAACATAATTCGTTAATCTTGATCCATGCCAAAGAAGCTTTTTATTATGCAAACCTTTGAATTTTTTATACCTTTCACTTTCTCCACGTCTCTTGATTGTAAATACCTGCACAATAAAATAAATAACTATTAAACATGCAAAATCTAAAATACACTGAGAAATTCCAAGTTCAAGATGTGACATGATCAGTTTGGTCATAACATTATATTCATTCAGATTTTGTGCTAATTAAAAATGCATTCTAAGACATAAATAATGCAACATAGCTCATTCATTTCTATAAGCTCATTCAATGATAACATAAGGTAAAATTTAATTATTTTATAAATCATTAGATCATTGTGCTTTCAATTATCTAACTATACTCAAATTAAAATAGTTTAGAAAATTTGTAAGAGAGGTATATGTTGCCTCCATATTGTGGCTTCTATGGTAAATGATGCAACCTTCCACAATAAATGCTCTTTGACTCTGATTATAGCTAAAAGTTGTAACGAACAGTAGACCTCTAAATATGAACACAGGAGTAACTCATATAGCGAAATACAGGGGGAAATTTTGCAGTAATAAATGAAACAAATGTAACAGAATAAATGATCATGTGCTATGATCATCAGAGGTTCACAGTAGGAAAGTCAGAAGAGTTCAGCATAATTGCAAATAAATTAATAATAAAAAATAGAGGAAAAACATAAGTGGAGGATGTTAAAATATAAATGACTTCCTCCTTTTACCCCAATTTGACTACATTCTTGAGCTGAATTCTCTTATAGTTGGGGGAATGGAATTTAAAAGAGACATTCATTTTTACTGGAGCCTTACAACAAAGATAATTACGTAGAATTTTTTTTTTTTTTTGGGGGGGGGGGGGAGAAAAAAGAAACTTAACTTTTTTTTCCACTTTGTTGATCTACATATGATTAATATTTTTACTGAATCAATTTCAATAATATAAATTTTTTCCTGTCTGCTTGTATTGTTTTTATGTCAATTGAAACTATTAGAATTAGGCATGAATCCTGATATTGCACTGAATCTATCATATTGTATGTCTTCGTAGCATCATTACTAAAGGAACACTCAAAGGAAAAATTTTCATAGATAATGAGAGATTACTGCATCGAAGACAGAGATACAAAATCTGCAGCTAATAACATTTGTCTGTTGTTTCTATATTTTTAAGAATACCTTAATACTTAAGATATTAAAATACCTGGCTTTTATAATCTTTAGGTTGAAAAATAAGCATCGCAAAATCAGCTAAAAAAATTCACTTATACCTATTAAAAGTACAAATGCAAACTAAACTCACCTCATCTAACTCTAAAGTATACTGATCATGAGTTTTTGCATGTGTATTATGCAGGTATGTTTCAATATGTTTGTATTCTTCAGAATCACGAGTCAAAGTTTCTATATCTGTTTTCAATTTATCATAATGTTCATCCACTGGATCTTTTGTGCTCTCTGCTCCATCACCTTTCAGCAGATTGTAGGCAAATTCTATCTCCAGCAGTGATTCCAACATTTCAATTTTCGACTAATTTAAAAAAAAAAAAAAAAAAAAAAAAAAAAAAGCAACATAGTTTTAAAACTACACTACATTTGTGCTTTTTTTCATTATTATTTAAAATACTCAGTTTTTTTTTCCATATTTTTATAGATATAATGAAACATTAAGTAACACAAAATATAAAAATACATACATATAGCATATTATAAATATCTTAACAAAATCAGCATTTACTACTTACCTACATTTCAAAAGCAAGTCTATTATGTGCCTCAAGCATGTGAACAGAAAGAAAGCAAAAGTTAGAGAGGAATCTCTGAAGTGTAGCAAAATCTTAATATTAGTGGGTATTGTTCATTCATAAAGTTGGATATAGACCACAAACGATATCAATAACTGGCAAAATAAAGACATAATGTTTGGCCAGGAAAATGGCCACAAAGTTGAAGAAATTGCAGCATTTTTGTATGTGACAGCATCCACAAAGTAAAGGAATGACATTTGCCCCCCTCCCCTCCCCTCCCCCCAAAAAATTCCAGAAATGCAATGTTGGACAAAAGCAATACTATTATCAAAGGATTATCGACATGTTCGGCTCATGTCTACAGTGAATCATTTTCCAAGCAGGTATTAATTGTCACAAGTTAATGCTCAATCGGGCTGTCTATTTCCGAGTACGCTTCGAGGTAAGAGCTGCATTGCCTGGAATTATTCAGCAATACATCCGGGCACCATAATCAGATCACAGCAGCTCAAAAGTAGCAGACTCCAATGGACATCACAACTAGCATGTACATGACTGGCAATATGTCATATGATCAGATGAATTAAACTCTGGCTTGTATTCCAATGACACATGCTGCTGCATCACCAGCAGACCTGCACAAGCATATAACCTGGAGTGTGTCTATAGATTAGTTCAGAGTTCAGGGATAGAAGTGTGATGTTTTTGGGGTGCATTTCAATAAATGGCGTTCAACCACTCATGGAAGAGGACTAGTTCATAGAAGTTGAAGTAGATGTTATACCAATTGGCTAGCCTTATCCTGAGCCCAAAGTCATTAAGAAAATCTGATATACTTCCAAATTTGCTGTTAAGAGTGTTGCATGTCCACCATAACTAGAGGAATTGACAGCCACATTAATGAACAAGTGGTTAAAAATAACTGTAAATGTTAGCTGGCTCCAAAAGATACGATCAGGATGTTGATGTACCCAAGTATTAAGTTAAATAAAATATGATTTCATAACATTTTGTCTGGAGTATTTATGTTATAGGTATTATATGTATTTATAATTAAACTTATAACACTTGAACTACACTATTTGATTAGAAATGCAATTTTGAACAATTCCAAATGTATAAAATTTACATAACTCAGTAATTTTTATGTAAACCATTTTAATTTTCATGTGTAGTGATTTGCAACATGCATTTTACTTTTAATGTGCTAATCTCTCAACCATTATCGTTACGTGCCCTAGAATTGCAGCTCGTGAAAAGAATATAATCTGTTAAGTTGGTTTTGTTTCATTGAGAGGAAACAGAAAGCAATTAGGTATTAATCATGACAGACTTTTCCACTGAATACGAAACAATAAGAATGAACTACATTAACATCAGGTTGTTTATTTCAGTAACAAATAATCATTATTTTAGTTTGTTTGTCACTCTATATATTATTAGTTAGCATTTTGGCCTAGGTTATTTATTATTAATTTAAGACTTAACTGAAATTATCTGGTGATGATAATTTGCTTTTCTCAGTTATGAAAAGGCACTATTACTACAACTAAGAACAATGACGGAATAGGAAATTAATATGCTCAATTTTATTTGCATTACTGCCAACCATTATATCTAAAAATATGGAAAATTTTCACAGTAAGCAGCGACGTCCTTCAAAAGAACTCTGAACCGACGTAAGCTTGCTTTATTTGGGTTATTTGATGATTTCTAATACGATTCTAATACAATAAATTAGATACCCTAAATTGTATGTTCTTTGGCTAATTTCATTACAAAATTTTCTAACACTTTTACACCAAGATACTTTAAATATGATAAAAATAAAACTAATAATTAATATACATAGTACTTGATTGAATAAACTTAGTAATATACTGTATACTGAGGTAAAACAAATTTAAATGCAAATATCAAATGATTAAACATTACTTGAATGTTCATATAAATGTTTACAGTAGAAGACAATTATGTTAAAATAAAATTTAATAAGGGGAAAAAATCAATAAATTGTAATACGAAAAAATAAAATTCAGATCAAATAAAATTTAATAAAAATTACTCCGAAAATTGCACAATTTAAGTTTTACCGATTCAATAAATCTTACTTATTCCTGAGAGACATAAAGGCTTATAATTAAACTTTTAATGCACTCAAGCAAGTTAACCTGAGTACAAACTAAATTATTTTTGCACAATTGAGTAAGTATGTCAAGAATTCACCCCCAGACATAAATACAATAGCATATATCTGCTACAGTTTTGAGTTAAAACAAAGAAAGAGGCTAAAAGTGGTTGAGTTAAAATAAGAAATTAAAAAAAATCTAATGTGGATACATCTCATATGACTTCTTTGTATGGCCTTTTAATTATACACATTTTTGTTGCATTTCATTTATATTTATTTCCTTAAATTTCATTTTATATATATATTTCTCCTTCAATTAAAACAGTTCTCATTTCAAAAAAAGATAAAACATCTTCATTAAAAAATATAAAATAAATTTAAAAAAACACACAAAACACCAAATACAGTTAAAACAAGTAAAAAAAATATAATTAAAATTAGAGTTTCTACTCAAAAACAAGTGCAATTCGACCAGCCGAAAAGAAGGCAGATTTTCAGTGCACAAAACTGATTTAATTCACTTTTCTATTAAGAGTTTTCAGACATAAATAAATGGCAGTTTTGTTACGCTTAGTGACACTGAAACAACTTTTAAATTGTTAATAATTCTACAACTATTGCATGCAGATTAACTAAAGGCATAAAAACCTTAACTGGTATATAAAACATCAACCGGTATATAAAATATCATTCAATCACTATTAAAGCAAAAAATGTGCAATTTACCAACATATAAGAATAAAAAAACTGAGCTCACTGAGGAGGGTAACAGAGTGTGTGTGTGTATATATATATATATATACATATTTATATACTTTTAGTGTGGCTGATTGCAACCTGAAGGGGTGGTACACAACTGTATGTTATCCCCATATACAAAATTTCAACATTCCAAGCCTGAGTTATATGACATACATATGCACAGATGTCATGAAAAAATCTCTTCTGATTCCATTTTGGGAAAAAAGAGTTCTTTATTCGGCCCATATTACATATGTCACTCAATAGCATTTAAATGAATTCAAGAGCGGTCAAAAGGGATATTTTCATTGGAATATGATTACGGAAATTTTTCGCGATTACAATATTTCCTTTACTTAGTACAAGGAATTAAAAATTAATGGAAAAAAGACAACTGCTTGAATTTTTCTTGGTGCATTAAATGTTTAAACTGGGGTTCATTAAAGATTTATATTTATTTGCAAAATGTATGAGTACTTCAGAAAATTTAACTACAGATGCTCTTGGCTTTTGGCACAATATATTTAAAAACTTGACATAGAATGGAGCAGTCTACAGTTAAAATTATATTTTAATAGACATGGCATATTCAACAACACATGTATAAAAAAATTGCAGCAGTTTCAAGTCTTGGCTTATATACTGTATTATTTCATACTGAAATAATGCAGTACAGTCAAAAGTCGTTAATTCGGACACCCATAATTCGGAATGATCTATAATCCGGACATCAAAACTAAAAACTTTCTGCGCATGCGCCACGTTGACACATGCGCAGAGGCGTTCACGCGTGCGCGTAAGACCTTTTACGACTGCGCATATGAGTGTGCGCAAGTGCAGAATACGTTTTAGCGTGCGCATTTTATGTATAATGGACGTATAAGCTAAAATTATCTAATTATCTATTTCAGTTAATGTTGATGATTGCGTTGTTCCTTAATTTTCGAAATGGCATCTGGCTTATTATTTTTGCAGCAGACTGTAGAGCAATTTTATAAAAGTAAGCTTAAACTTTCGATTATATCAAATAGAATTTCCGATATATATTTGTTATATGTAAAGGATCTAAAGCGAAAGTATGTTTTTGAAATCCGAAATCTGTTTTATCAATTTCACGTTGCTCGGGCGGGCGCCTAATGAATTGGAATTTGATTTGTCAGCACTATCCTTATCTTCAGGCGCAGATGTTTTTATTTTATTTGGCTTATAATTCCTTACCAAACGTAGTATTTCATCTCGATGTACTCCGTCTTTGATATGATTTAAAATCAAGTTCCTCGTCATTATAATTCGCTTCCGATAGCGAAGAAAAGTGACAGAGGTTATTGAAAAAAAAAATTTCGATTGACAAATTAGTCGGTGTTTTTGACACAGCAATTATAGGACTTGAACGGCGGAACTTTGTAACTGAACAAGAAATTATGTCTGTTTAATAGAATTAAATAGAAAGTATTATCACATGAAACGAAGCAAAACTTAAACAACTTACATTGAAAGAAATGTTTAATAAAGTAAACAAATAATATTAAGCTTTTTCTTTTTGCAAATTTTGATACCCTTTAGATCATAATTGTTCTTTATTTCATAAATTACGGTTTTCACATTTTTTAATTTTAGAATTTCTGCATGCCATCTTACCGAGATTTAAAACTGATGATCTATAATCCTGAAAAATCGATAATCCGGAATCGCCGAAGTCCCGACGAGTCCGGATTAACGACTTTTGACTGTATATACTAAAACAGAAAACAACTGTCAGCATTGATAATCATTTAATACACTGGAATATTTCAATGCTGACATATGAACACAAGTCATACATAGAAATTTTGTGCTTGTATATTAAAAATATTTTAACTTGGCTCATTAATAACATCTGCAGGACAAATTCTTTTTCAGACTGTGCAACAGAATAAATTAAGTTTATAAGAAAAAAATAAATAATTTAAAATGTAATCAGCTTTCAATTTCAAGATAGTAAAAGATTCATAGAAAATTGATAATTTCTTTTAATTAATAAATTTAAGCTAGTTTCATAAATTTAATATGATACATTGGCTAAGAATATCACCTTAAAGGTTTATACATTTACCATATAGCAGTAAGAGAAAAAAAGGGGGGGGAAGAGAACAAAGAATTTGAAAAATATAAGACCTTTGAGAAATACAAAAACGGTATATATTCAAAATTTGAATAACTGAAAAAGTATCCTACGTGGGAATGTGTTATACAATAATAATAAAGGAACAAGAATTAAATAGTACTAGATATGTTTAAGAAAAGCAAACCTTAATTAAATCTTCATTATCAAGAAGAGGTGGCTTCTTCAAACCAAAATCATGAGGTATTAGAGTGTAGAAACGATTGGAAACATCTAATAATTTTGTTGGATTACAACCATCTGTCAACACCTATGAGAAAAATAATATTACTTGCATATGTTTGAATCAAAATTATATTTAGCATGGTTCAATATCATTAGAAATAAATACATAATATATTAGCATCCAATAAAGAAAACTGAGTTATGTGTTAGCTTTTAACAGTTCAAAACTCTTTGAAAATCAATCTGATACCAAATATCAATAACACCATTATAGCAGCAATACAAAATAATTATGTTTTAATACATAAATATGGTAACATTAAAAAAGTAATTCTCAGTATTTAAACATACTACTTAGCCCACATAGTACACACATGGCTAAAAGATATGAATGAATATCATTATGTTAAAGTTACCATCACAGAGCAATCAACTTGTCATGATTTGCCTAATTAAAATACTCGCAGAAGACACCGTGAATATGCAAAATTTCCATTCTTGCATTTAAGGGTCAAGTGGCAACTTCAAAGGGTAAAATGGAAATTATCGATGAACTGCTTTTCTCAGAAATTCAGAAAATGAAAGAGTACATTTATAAACATAAAATCCATCAAAAATATCATCTTGATAATTTTTCATGTAGAATAACAATAAGAGAAAGTTGAAAAACCTCCAGAATTGCAATGGGTTTTGAAGTCGCACAGTATTGTTCAAAACCACTGAGCAGCACTACAAATATTGGTATGTATTCCAGCCACACTGCAGGATGTTTGCCCTCAAAGTTAAATTACCTGTGCACTGATAAATACTTATCATGCATCCTTTACTTATTACTAAACTTTGATTGATATTCTTTTGCAAAAGATTTGCAGCCATTGCTTTGATTTTGTTGTTTCCAACAGTTCTGATATTAGATGTCTGGAAATAAACAGTTTGCCATATTTATTTCCATTTTATGTATCAGTTTTCTTTTCACATGCAAAAATGTCTATCTTAAAAGTTTTGACCATGTATGTAAAAATCAAACAGTCAAATGAAACTGCTGTTAATTTGCCCAATCATATGAACAGTTTGAAAATGTAGATTAAGAATAAATTGAAATCATTATTTCTTTTTCAACTAGCCTCAGATCTTACATTTTAGTAATTTTTAGCAGTCCCTCCCAAAAGTTTTAAAAACTGATGTTTAATTTTGAATGTTTATTTTTTTAATATCTGCACAATAAACTCAAGAATATAAATTAGAAAATTAGAAATTAAAAAATAAAAGCATTACATAAAATTATCTTTAAAATTTCATTTCTTTGTACTATTTTTTATGCTTATTTAAAAAGAGTGTAATAATTTCAATTTAATTAAAAGCAAGTAATTCCTTTCGAATATAACAAATACATAATATAAAAGTTACATTTTCAATAACATAATTAGTTGGAATTTTCTCAAATATTCAAAAGAAGAACTACAAAAATTTCTTTGAAACAAGAGGGAAAAAAGGAGATCTTGTGTTTTCACTCAGCTAAGGAAAAACTTCCAGTTACCTATGTAGATTTGTCAACTATTTTATTACTTATGTATTTTCCATGTATATAACCTTCTGCAAACAAGCTTTTTTCAGTTTCTTAGGAAACTAATACATCTGGAGATACACTTTCATGAATTTTCATTGTTCTAGCAAAATTTCTTCTGATGCAATTATTAGCCGTTATTATTATTCCATTCCCTCTAAGGAATAAAATAATTTGTCTTTTTAAAAATATGATAGTTACTCTTGTAACTTTTATATTTTATCATATTTATTGTGAAGTTATTACCATCATCTTCACAGAACTGATCAGATTATTTTCTTTTTTAAATATGGTGACAAAAAAGGCATCCCTGCTTTATCTGCAAAGAACAGCTTTTAGAAACATACTCATTTCTTTTATAAATGTTAATATATCACCTCCTCTTCCCCCAAATTAGAAGATGACTTTTACAATACTAAATCAAACTTTTGGCATGCAATCCACATAATGCAAAGAAACATGATAAAACTAAAACTTTGTGTAATGAATGCCACAGATTGTTTGAAATAAAAACACCAGATAAGCAATCCCTGTTTAACATTGCTATATTCACAGAATTTGTTATAGCAGCTAGTCTGAAACTGCAATACTGCACATAAATATCTATATTTTTTTAACTAACAAACTGTCTATTCTATTATCATGCATATAATACAATTACTGAATACTTCTCCTACAAATTCTTTAGAGTTTTGATAATAACTGGCTTTAAAAAATTACATCTCAAACTTCATATAACATTATTTCTCTTAGAATCATTATATACATGAAGGCCCACCAGTGGCCGAGCGGTAAAGTCGCTGAACACTGGTAGTTCGGTCCGAGGTTTGAATCCCGCGAACGGGCTGGCTGCGTGGGTGTTTTCCCCCTTGCATAAGGTGCACACGAGCCAGTTTCCCTTAGAAAGTTTCTCCTCTCTATCCCTCTCCTTAGACAGATAGCCCTCGAGTCTTTGCTGTTATCACATAAACCAAACCTATATACATGAAAACAAAACCTTACTGCATGATAAAGAGTTTGCTCTTTTCAAGAAAATTAAATTTTCCACACAAAAAGAGTCATCAGGTTGGAACTACATTTATTTTTTACCATATTTTTTTTTTTTTTTTTTGCTAAAAAGATGTGCCATGCATTGCAAGATGCTTTTGTGTCAAACCGCACACAAAAAAAGAAAATAGCGTGGTGCACACATCAATAATGCGCACGGTGATATATTAACAACGAGATTGTTTATTTCTCGAGTTACAGCTCTGGATTGCACTCGCAGGCGCGGAGCGGCGTAAATGAGACACTTTACCGCTTGTTATATTGTAGCACACGGCACCGCAACCGTGAAGTTTAGTCGTAGTGCAAGTGGTTAAAACTCAAATCTAATAAAGCCAAACCCTAAATTAATTTTAAGGAACCATCATTTTGGTTCATCAACAGAAAATTATCATCAAGTTCATCATCATCCATAAGAAAACTGGACTACTAAAAAAAGTGAACAGTTGTAAGTCCAGTTCAATGGTCAAGCCTAATTTCTTGCCATTCTAAAGGAAAATGTCTCTCTTTGTAGTGTTGAGAAATTTATCATTTCAAATGTTTCCTCCTCTCCCAGTTTTGAAACACTCCCTGATTCTCCAACAGTGTTTTCCTGAAGAAATATAATTTCATTTTTTTAACAAATTCAACCAGCAATATGAGTGCAAGAAAGTAGTCTCAGCAGAGTGTTTGTCAAATTCATTGTCTCTATTTGAAGCATTAGTTGGTTTGGTTTGGTTTAGTTTAGTTTAGTTTATTTGATTATGGCAAAGCACTCATGGGCTATCTGCCTAAGAGAAGGGATGCCTTCATGGAGGACTTTCTACGGGCAACTGACTCATATACACATTGAACATGGGGAAAATCATGAAAATGTCCATGCACCATGATTTGAATCTTGGGCCAAACAACCAGTGTTCAGCTGGTGTACTGCTTAACCAGTGTACTGCTCAACCGCTGGTGAGCAAAGCATTAGTGATTTTTTTGGATAGTGAATCATTTCAGCAATGTTTCAAGATTCACCTTTTTTCAATATTTTCTTCCCATCTAAATTTTTTTCTGCGAGTAGAAATTACAGAATCTCAATTTTTCCATGGTACAAGTTGGAGATTTAGAAAAACTGTACTGCTGGTATATATCAACTTTGCTACATCAATTCTGCATTTTTTAAAATAATGCTCACTTTATCTTCATTACAGAATGCTTTGTGTTTACAGTTATTACTGAGATTTTGCTATAGAAAACTTTTACAAATACAGAATGAAGAGAATAAGTCAAAGAATGAATGAAAAGGGTGAAAAGGAAGGTAATTGCATTACTAATCTGTCCTATCTATAATCCAGTGTGAATACATTCAGTTTTTAAAAGATATGTATAGTTGCAAAGCAAAAGGATGATAATATACCTTAATTGTGCAAAATATCTAAAAAAGAGCAAAATCCTCTGCATAAAACATAGAACTTGGAGAATGTTTTAAATACTGAAACAAAATATATTGCTAAGGATAAAAAAATTCCGCTTCCTAAATCACCAAATCACTATAGCTCCCATATCCACAAAAATCTATTCACTCCTTTCTCTTTCCTTCAACAGCAAAAATTTCCATCATATCACCTAAGTTCTGTTTTACAGCTTGATTCAAGAACTTGAATAGAATGAGAGAATCCACTCCAATTTTTTCATTCAGTGGTCTCTTAAAATATGTTTACTGTGTATCCTAGTTCCCTCTCCCCAAAAAAGGATGTTCCATCTCCTTCCGTACCTCTGTTCAGAATACAAGAGAATTGAGGAATGTAAATATATAATGTAAAAGTGTTGTTCACTATTGTATTGGATTAAACATAAATGATATTAAAGATTAGCTATTTCTCAGTTAAAACTTACAGAAACTGAAAAATATTCAGAAAAATACAAAACTTTCTATCGAAGATATGTATAAAATTTATTAAATCAAATTTTCATATGTCAGGATGTTTGCTACAACCAAATTAAATAACATTAATTAAGCAGAAAATTGAACAGAAGCAAAAAGTTAATTTGATACATCCGGGATTTTGTTACAAACTAGGTTAACTATAGATGAGTCTGATTGTATTTTAAAGATGTTTCTGAAAAAAATAACCTGTGTATTAATACAAAAACCTGAACCTATGACTCAAAATTTGATCACAAGATCACTATAAATAATAAAAATAATAACATTATCAGAAGAACAAATCCACTGAATGAAAATATATATATATATATATATATATATATATTATATGCAAACCTGCTGAGCTTCAGTAAGCACTGCATAAGCAGCCTCAATTTGTTTCTTCGACAGTTTTCCAAGTGGCATCTTTTTAAGATCAATCTGAAAAAAAATATTAACTTAAATTATTTTTAGAGCATTATAATGCATATGTGTTGCTCTATATGTTTTTTTATTAAATTTCACACAGAATGTATTCAGAAGTTCATGAATTATTCCAATAAAAAGAAGAGAACAATTACTTCAAATTCAAGCATAGCTTTTTTCATTTCTTCAATATCAAATATCAAACATATTAATTCCTGAATGGGCTTAGGAAGTTTAGAGTTGGCACCAGGTTTCAGTTCTTGCAACTCACTGCATTCCTTTGAAAGAAAATCTTATCACATGTTGAAAATGAAATAACACATCCAGAAAGTAAACACAGGTATATTAATTAACAGTTAGATACATTAAGAATAAATAAAATTGAAAAGAAAGACCAATTAATGTTCTTTAATATTATTATTATTTTACCTGCCCATAATCTATATCCAAAGGATATAATCCACCAGGTTGTTTGACAAAATTTTTCCTATTCTGCCATTCATTATTTGTTTTTTCAAAATACAAAGCCTTAAATGCAGAAATAGCATCATTTATATTGTCCATTTTTTCAATTTTACTGCCTCCGATTGTTGTACCCACTCTACCCCATGCTCTGAATATCCAATATCTAAATAAAAAAGGGAAGATTATATTTGATATTAAATATTTATAACAGTACTAATTTGAGTGAATGCACACATAAGAGTAAAACAAAAATATTGAAAAACATAATGGTAGTTTATTTTTATGATTACTAGAATTAGACTGAATAACTATCGGATAAAAATTAGCTAAATTTGTATATACTTACTTACTTTAGTGTTTATTTTCATAAACTTAGATTTATTGAGATGACATTTATATTATTAAAGAAAGAAAGCAAAATATCAATTATAAGCTAACATATAACAAATGACAAAAATCTCATGACCGGATAAAGCTGGTCCTAGCGCTCAGAGGGTTAGATATTCGAGTTGCATCATACCATTACATAAATTTTTAAAGACTGCCTCGTAAATGATATTAAAATATATAGTTTCATATTATCAATTTAAGGCAGATTTTTATAGACTGATCATCCAAAATTTTTAATGATGACTTATAATAAAATTTCTTGCCATGTAATATAATAAATATCCCCCAACTAAAATTTGCTATTTTTAATAGTTTGAATGAGGAAGGATAAGTATATTTTTACATTGCAGTAAAATACATATATTATTCTATAATGCGATACGAAACAATTTAGTCATATTTTTGAAACATTAACTGGTACATAAATTACATGTTTGTATGTAAAAATTCTCTTATCAATGCAAAATACATTTTTTATTTTCAAAATAGGAAAATAAAAATATTCTTTTACCAGATAATCACACAGAAAAATATATATATAAAAAATTATAGTCGACTTGGATTATACTGAATCCATAGGAACTGATGAAAAAGAATGCTATATCAAACAGAAGACAGATTTATGGAAGATCGGATGGGACTTTCTTATATTTCATTTTCAAGAGTCATAATAACACAAATCAGTTTTATTACAAATAAAAACACAAAAAATTACACAGTTAAGCATTTAAATTATATTTTTAGCATATAATTTAACTCTTCTAAATTGTTCAGAAGATTTTCAGGCATTATTTTATGAACAGCATACTTTGATCCTTTATTTGATTCTAGCAGCTGTAGTTTGTAATATGTGTTTGTTCCTTTAGCAATGTCCACTTTCCCAAGCACTGCATTATATATATCACCTCTGCTTTGATATACATGGGTTTTGTCTGCAAGACCTAAAAAGAAAAGTAACACATTGCTAAATTACACTCATACTTAAAACTTCTTTGAGAAAAAGACTTTGAAGACGAACTTTGGGATTTCGGAAGGGGGGCAAACAACATATATTACAGAAAAAATATTATGATAATTTGCCTAATATGTTGTTATAACTTCCACCTGTTACTAATAGTAAAACATTTATCCACAGAAATATGAACATTACAAAATTTCAGAAGGTAACTTGCAATATTTTATGTCGATAATTTATAACCAATGTTTTAACTTAAGTTACAGAGTTGAATTGCTACAAATTTTGTTGAACACATGTCTGAAGAATTTGGAAGACAAGGTCATACTTAGAACTCTTGCTCAGACTCAAAAAACTATTCTTGAACAATCCAGATACTTAAGATTATTACCAAACACAGAAAACATTTTCGGAAAGGAATATTGCTACACAGAAAGACTTACATTATTTAAAACAAGAGATGCTTTGATAGCTAATATCAAAACATTCTGTATATGAATGACTACATTCATACTCAATTAAGATTATCTAAATAGATGAACTTTCTCCTACAACTAATAAATTTGCCCATACCCAGTTAACCAAGTACTCATTACTAAGATAAATGAAGAATTAAATGGCTCTTTTAGATAAAGAATTATCTTTGAACCATTTGAGATCCTTTCAATAGTTGGATTTTTATTATTTTAATTTTAAATAGATATATACATCTCTTTCTTTTCAAACAAATAACTGATCCTTTAGCCAGAATTTCATAAATTATGTTTCTTTCCATAATTTAAGTCAGTGAATAAAATTATAATTAATGTATTACAATTGCTTGTAATTTGTGAATTTCTGATGCACAAATACATACATACTAATTATATAGACAAAAAAATTAATTAAAAGTCGTAAAAATTTTTAAAAATGTGTTTGGAACATTTAAAAACTTACAGGGTTTTCAAAAGAACTTTTTACATTTCTAATAGCATTATCACACATCTGCCTGTTTCAGATAAACAACTGTTTCACAGTTTTTCTATGAGCTTTATCACTGTCAGAAATACAGTGGTGGCCAAAATTGTGGACACTTTTGGAAATTTTTATATTTTTGAACTTTGTATGCTTATAGAAAACGTTACGTTTCACAAAATGCAAACTTGTATATACCATTTTAAAGAGAATTTATTACTGAATTCAATACAAAACACAAAATTCAATTATTTGCAATAAAAAAAAGGTTAAACGATAATAGTTATCGATATACATTAGATAGTGATGATTGCAGTGAGTTATCAGTACTTAGTAGGGTACCCTTTATTTTTCATTACAGCTTCACATCAACGTTTCATTGAGCTGACAAGAGTTTTAAGCTCTTCTTTCGTTATTACATGATGCCAGGAAACAATTATAGCCTCAATTAGTTCCCCTTTATTTGATGAGTGCCTCATTCGGACAAGAGTTTTCAAACGGTGCCACAAATTTTTGATAGGATTAAGGTCAGGACTGTTTCCTGGCCATGACAACAATTTAATGCTCTTTGTACGAAACCACTCTTTCAATATTTTGGCCGTGTGGCAAGGAGCAGAATCCTGCTGAAAAATAAACGAAGCATTGTTGGGAATGAGATCTCTGATGGAAGTTAGAAGTTTTGGTTCTAGAATAGTGTCAATGTATTGTCTGGCATTCAGTGTCCCATCGATGACATGAAGGCGACCATCTGCTGACATGCATGACCAAATCATAACACTAACTGGGTTCTTCACAGTTGCTTGAATGCAGTCAGGATGTAGCTCTTCTCCTATTCTACGTCTTACATATTTTCGTGCATCACTACCGAATAACGATATCTTAGTTTCATCACTCCATATAACTTGTGACCACTGATCATCTGTCCAATTAATGTGTTCCTTTGCCCACAGTAGTCTTTTTTTTTTTTTTTCGTTGTTGAAAATTAAGATAAGGCTTTTTCCATGGAATTCTACCTCTCAGTCCAACATCTCTTAATCTTCTCCTGATTGTTCTTGAACTGACAGAAACACCAGCTTCATTCAGATCACTTCTGATGGCCACTGATGACATTTTTCTATCTTGGAGACATAGTCTTTTTATTTTTCTGTCATCACTCCAGATGTAGTCACTAAACCACCCACCTGTCTTGCAACTTCACCATAGGAAAGACCACTTTCTCGTAACACAATAATATTACATCTCTTTCTAGGTGTCCAATCTACTCTTTTATTTGATGTCATTGCTTCTTGACTAAATATTAAAAATTTTTACAAAAATTCCTACTTGTAATTGCAGTGTATAAGAAACAGGTCCTCCTTCTACAGAACAAAGTAAAATAGTGAATTGTTTCAAGTGTAAACATGATGTCAGCTTCTACTGGCAGTTAGTAACATTTGATTGGTTCTCAGAACAAGAACAGTGATTGGCCAGGAAAGCTAGACATTACAAACCACGTCATAACTGTGTTTTTTATTTATATTAAAGTACATATAACTTTTTTTGTATTGCAAATAATTGAATTTTGTGTTTCGTATTGAATTCAGTAATAAATTTTCTTTAAAATGATATATAAAAGTTTGCATTTTGCGAAACGTAACATTTTCTATAAGCATACAAAGTTCAAAAACATAAAAATTTCCAAAAGTGTCCACAATTTTGGCCACCACTGTATATGCAATTTTTTAAATCCCTTCCTCAAATCGCTGCAGAAAAGTACATTTTTAGCCAAACAGCATGGAACTAAAGAAATCGAAAGTCCCTGCATCAGTATTGGACAACCAGTTTCCTGTTTATATGGAAGCTACAAAGTGATCATGATGAATGGTTGTTCTATATTATGGACCTTTAACAGCTTTTCTGAAATGTTCTGATTGAGTGATAAGAAATATAGTTTATATTATTCTTTTTTATGATGGAAAGGCATTAACTCTACAATTAGTCATTTGCTACATCTAATAATCATTATAGGAGACAGCAATAAAATTTCATTGTGATTAATACCAAAATTCTTAATGAGGTTCCTGCATAAACTCTGAACAGAACTTTTTCACTATTCTATTGTGGGATGTCATCTTTCTTTACTCTTTTATTTGCGAGTGAGGACAGACGAAGCCACCATTGAAATAAAAATGCATGTAAGATAATGTTCTCTTATGTAGTGAACTTCTCAATATCTGTAAATAATTTCCATCTACAAATGCTATCAAATTGTTTATAATCTTTATTAAATGTAAAGTTAAATAGTTACTTTGTGTTATTATATGTGTTTTACCCTTGGACAACAGCTAAGCACTCAGCCATTTTACGAAATCAGGTTTTACAGGTAAGATGGAATGAACATTTCTGAGTGCTTAGTTCAGAATGAGCTTTGGATACAACAAATAAAGATGTAAAAATTATAATGCTGGAACGACTAAATTGGTTTTGAACTATATACCTGCATATTGTTACTTATAAGAATGGTGAATTCTGTTAGTGAAAATGAAAACTATTCTATTCCTAGAAATTCTGATTCTTTGAGAACTAGCACCACAATGTATACTTCCAACAAATTACATTTGGAACTTAAGGTGATAGGAAAAAACAGAAAAACTGCATAGCTTTTCTGGTTTTCCATCAAATTTTAATGTCATGGAATAGAAGCAAAAACTACTTCAGAATTTATCTGCAAATGATTCAACTCCTGTATATAATTTGTTACATCTTAATTACGAGTCAAATGTATAAAAACTGTGATTTAATATTGAAGAGTCTGTGATTTTAAGCTTTTGCAATCTGAATTTGAAGACAATGATGAGTTACAAGAAAGCGAAAGTGTTCATGATTCTGATAATGATGATGATGTTTAATTCAGTAGATCAACATAGCTACTAAATTTTCATTACATTTTACAAACTGTTTTGGAATTTAATAGAACTGATGTATAACTGATAAAATCATTCATTCACGATCTAAGAAGAATCTTTTAAATTATTTCAGTTATCTGAATTACAAAAGATCGTGTTTAGTAAAATATTGCTTATTGTTACTGCTAAAGTATTTATTCGGTCTTTGAAAGGTATTATGTCATGGGACAAGTTAAAAGAAAATATTTTGTCTGAATTTGGTTCTAAAACAAATAGTGCACAACCAGGATGTTGCAATTGTCGAAGATGGGTCTTAAATCAAACTCACGTAATAATAACAGTAAATGATTTAAGTGCTTTGAATGTAACTTATTTGGATGCAAAGCTGTGGATTGTTCCAAAACATCTCTTAAATGAAGATGCCAAAACTGTAACTCCAACTGCTCAGACTCATCGGAAATATATAAAGTATAAGAGATATATAATTTAGGTAATTTACAAATCGATGTTTCAACAGATACTGGAAGTCAAGTAATGTTAATATGAGACTGACAGGTTCCCTGAACTTAAGCTGGTAAATCTATAATTAATGGTTATTTTTTTGGTTATTCAATTATGGCAAAGCACACGAGGGCTATCTGCCTAAAGGGAGGGATGCCTTCGTGGAGGACTTTCTAAGGGAAACTGGCTCGTATACACGTTACACATGGGGAAAACCCCAAAAACGCCCATGCAGCCAGCCCGTTCGCGGAATTCGAACCTCGGACCGAACTACCAGTGTTCAGCGTCTTTACCGCTCGGCCACTGGTAGGCCCTATAATTAATGGAATTTTGTAATGGGAAATTTAAACCGTTAGGGAGACTTGAAGGTGAATTCAAAACTGATAATTCTTCACTAAGATCAAATATTTTGTTATCGCAGAAAACAAATGTTTTTACAAGCGGTCATTAGTACAGATATTATAAGGCAAAGATAATTAACCATAAATGAATAGGTAAAGTTCGACCGTCTCATCCGCGACCATGAGCACAAACACGCATGTGCTATACGGACCGAATTATTCTCAAAATACGGTGGAAGGATTTCTTTTTCCCCAGCATATCTCTTTCCGGAGAAGAAAAAATTTTCACTTGACCTTTCATGTCA